AGAACCTTTTCCTAAGACTGGAAAGAAGTGTTTGGAGCAATGTCCAGTCTAAGAGACGATTCCTCATTAACTGCTGATTATCTGTTACTGCTGCCCTGAGCTGGGGGACCCAAGGGCTGGGAAATCTATTGGTGCTACCCTGCCCTACCATTCACCCAGCTCATTGACTGCCAACAGGAAGTACTGTTTGGCTAGTTCCTTCCCACTTACCCACCCCTCCTTTGTCCTTAAACCAAACAAATCTCTGCTTTGCCAACTCAGCCAGAAGCTTTAGCCGATAGGCTACCTCCTGGCCCCAGAATCTCCTGGCCATTGTGTCACAGTTACTGCTTTTACATTCTCAACAGGATTCTGTATCTCATCCCAATCTCCTCCTAAGTTCCTACTAAGGTTACATTACTTTCAGAGGGAAGGAACAGTAGTTGTTATAGAAGCATTTGCGCTTTATATAAAGACTGAAAGTAGAAAATGCTTTTATCTCCCAAAGTCTGTCTGTTGAGATACCTAAACTCAGGCAGAGGGTCCAAGGCTGGGCAGGACTGTCCTGAGTTTAGGGGCTATCCCTGCATTTCACTGAGACCTCAGAATCTCATCTGTGGTTTTCACCTGCCTAGTTCTTCCATTTCACCCTTTTTATCCTCTCTTCCACATCATCAGAGAAGGAAAAAGTTGTTTAAAAGGAAGAGAAAAATATAAAGCATCTTATTTTCTTTTAAAAGAATTTTAAACCATGAAAAAGATATTTTTAAAGAAATTACCCAGAACATTAAAATTCACTATATTAAGTATTTATCATGTGTGGAATAATAAGTATATAACTGCAGCTAGTAGGCCCCTTCCCTTATCTCTTAGGTTGTCAGTAGGTTGCTTGGTGCCAGTCCTGTGTGCTCTTTGCTCTCCTGTCATCTATAGTTGTGATCAAAAAAAAATCTGCACTGCACTGTCAGAATCTCCTTTCACTATGTTGTGTGTTCAATTATCTTACTAGCTTTGTTTCATGAAATAAACTGTGAATTTTTTGGGGGGTAGGAATGCAGGCTATGTAGACTTTTGATTCTAAGCTAGCTTCTCTGTAGTAGGCTGTGGTAGGTGATTGACTTTGACAGCCATCTAGAAATGTCTCACAGGGACAGGAGAGAATGAGGGATAAGAGGCTGTGATTGGTGACTTTGTGGTTTCGTTTGGTTCTTTCCATTCTTTACCATTCACTGGAGTCTCTGTTCCAGACCTGCCTAGGAAAACTTCTGAGTTGGTTTGGGGCAACAGTTCTTTGAATGGAATGATGACCAGGCTTCTCTCCTGAACCACTGACTCAGGGTATTGAATGGAAATTAGAAAGTCAAGCCTTTGGGCCCACTGTGAGAGCGTGAGCGCAGTCACTATCCAGTTAGAAGCAGTCAGCACAGGTGCTGGGAAATGACTCATGAAGGTGGGCAGAGGATGACTGAGCAGCCTTCTTGGACCTCTCAAGCCTGCAGCAAGACCCTTTCTTCAGACAGGTGTGGACTGGCAGTAAATCTTTCATTTTAGAAACTTCTGCTAATTGTGCAGCATGGCATTTTATTGTTTGGTGTATGGCTCAGTACTTGGAAATTAAGTTCTCAAGAGAGTCTGCTTATGAGCCAGTTTCCTAGAAAGACTTTTTGAGGGGCAAGCCAAAGATGGAAGTGTTCCATAGGTAGCTAGAAAATACTAGTTCTAATAAATTAGAAAAAAAAAATTGGAAACTTGAAATTTATATTCCAAGTCTCATGTTTCTCCTGCAGGAACCCACTCATCCTAATACAAAACAGCTGTCATTTCCACAAAAGCATCCATGATACATTAGCTGCCAGCTTTTCTCTACAGTTTGAGATTACTTAAATCACTGTTGATCCTCTTCTGAGCCAAATTCACCTTTTTGGCATTGATGAAAATAATTATTCTTGAAATCCTCCACCCCACACTATTGTCTGGCCATGGAGTGTACTAGTAATCCTTCCTGGTTTGGCATCTGTTCATCTGTTCATGAAGCTAGACTCTCGAGTTATAGTCTATTGTTGCCTTGTGAAAACTAGCTACCAGGAAGGAGCACTGGTCCTCATGGAAAACAATCAAGAGAGCATTAAATTTGGTAGCTTTTACTAGTAGCTCCTGTAGAACAGGGTTTTTCCTAAGGCTTGGGATACTGTCAGCCTCTTAGGTTTTGTCACCAGGTCAGAGGGGCCCAGTGGCCTAACCTCCAAGACCATAGCAGGAAAGGCATTGCCTCAGTCGTTTTTCCTGCTGAGTTCTTCTGTGTTAAGACATTCCACATCATTTTAGAGCTATCAGCTGCTGTGGGAGCTTTCTTGCCTGTGGCCATTTAGCTCTCAGCTGACCATCATTGGCCAGTATGCAGCCAGAGGTTGCTATAGTATAAACTGAAATAGATAATTGTTTTGTGTATGTACATACACACACACACACACACACACACACACAAATGATGGTGCTAATTTCGTTATATAAGTAAGCACTGCCAAGGGTTGAAACGCTGGTGACTTCAGCAACTTGGGTTCCTATTTGGTGGGGGGCAAGAGATTTCCTGCAAGAAAGGTTTCTTTAAGGCCCTATGAGAAGTAGGAAGAAGGCAGCACATTAGTGAAGCCTATACTCAGCCCTGGAGTAGTCCCATGCAATCCAGAGGTAGAAGAGATCCTGTAACTAGCTGAAGGTGGTCATTGAGTTTTTTCAGGGATGGGTTCACTTTGTCCATAGCCTCTGTCCACAGCACCAGGAACCGGCTGGTGGAGAGCTCTCGGTTTTCCTCCATTACCTTTTGCCCCTCTACCTCTTCTCTCATGGAAGATCTCTATTGCTTATGAAGATTAAGGGTAATATTTCTTAAGGAAATGGAGTTTATTAGAAATCTACAGACTCAGAGGAAATGTTTGTTTCTTGCCAGCCTAAGAACACATATTAAACTCTTCTGTGGTCCTTTCCCTACAGTTGCCTTCTCATGACTCTTTAAATATTAGGGTATGAAGGGCCCTGGAATAGCATGTGGGGGTTTAGCAAAGCTCTGTGGGCAGATATGAACACTGAGCAGAGCAGAAAGGAAGTCCTGGTACATTAGGCTCCAGGGTAGGTGGAACAGATAGTCTCCCAGCTTGAGGTGGTGCTGTCTGTGTGTGTAGGTGTGGAAGGTGGTGAGTGCAACGCACAGGAGCTGGTAGAAGAGCAGCTTTCTAGATCTTGGCAAAGAAGCTGACATGAGAGATCTGTTTTTATATTTTTAAGAAAGGGGAGGGGCAGGGGAATCCAGCCAAGGCCCATCACTGTTGCCTCCCTTACTCCCCGTCCTGTCCCCTCAGACTGTCAGCTGGAAGTGAAACTCCTAGTGAAAAAGAGGGGAACCCTATGCTAGGAGTCCCCATAAACATGTACTGTAATTCTTTGTATATATAAAAAAAAATACTGTAAAGTAAAGTTTAACTTTACTCTTATGGCCCTTGCCCTGTGGTTTTTTTTTTTTTTTTTTTTTTTTTTTATATTGTCCATGGAAAGATATAGCCTAACGAGACAGATTGGTTTGGAGTAAGAATCAAAAAACCACCCCAGAGATAGTTCCCTATAAAGGACATGGCAGAGCTTAGGACTTCCTCCAAGCACTTTGTAAGAGTGGCATTGGTTTTCCCCCAGGTACCACAGCTGCCTAGGCATTTTACCCTCCTGTTTTGAATGGCTGGTGTCAGTTTCAGTCTCCTCCACAGGAAGCTTGTCACTCAAGAAGGAAGAGTATTTTGAGGAATTGGTTTGAAAAAGAGAAGTGGAACTAAAGCACTTTTGGGTGTGAGTCCAACGTTGTTTACTTCACAAGCAGGAAAGCTGGGGCAAAGGACAGGCTGGAAGGTGAGGCCCATATACCATAAAGGGCTGCAATACACTTCCTTCTAGTTGAACAGGAATCATTCCCCCCATTTACAGTAACAGCTGAACTTCCAGAAAATATGGACCTTCAAGGCGTAATATTTTGGGGGAACTTTGTGAGTGCACACCTCTTCTGCCCTGAATACTCTGCTCACTCAGCAGAAAGCCTTCAGGGGAAGAGTAGAATACAGTCAAGACATTTAGTATTGCAGTTACTCTTGAGAGGGGTTTTTTGGTTTTGCTTTTTCAATGCAGGAGATGAAAATGCTAAGCAAGTACTCTTCTACTGAGTTACATTCCCACTGGGCCCCTCTATCACATCCTGAGTTGCCCAGTCTGACCTTGGGCTTGCAATTTTGCCTCAGCCTCCCCAGGACATATACATCTGCCCCTGTGCTTGGCCCACTTATGATCTTGATGATTCTGAGTGAGATGTCTTTTTTTTTGATACGAGGAATCAAATACAACCTCACACTCACCAGACAGATGCTTATACTGCTGAGCTAAATTCCTGATCCCTGTTACCTCATCTTGAAAGATAAACTCAAGTTTAAGTCACTTTTTTGTATTAGTAGCTGAACTGGATCTGAGTGTAAATCCACAAGCCTTTCCATTTTGCCCTTTTCCCTACCACCAAATCACATTGCTGATGTCACTGGGAGGCTCAGACCTGATCATCGGTCAGACCCAAGAGCCCATGACAGACAAGACAGAGCTAGCTAGACCAACTACAGAACCAGGAATGCCTGGTCCTTTATTTCTGAGCACAATTTAAGTACTCTATTGCTCTTCTCTGTGCCCAGGAATTGTGAGCATGGTACTGCCCTATCCTGACCTTGAACTTTTCTGCCCCCACCAAAAAAAAAGCTGGGATATGCAGCTCCAGTGAGAAGAGCACTTGCCTAGCATGTACAAGGTCCTGGCTTCCATCTCCAGCACCACAAAATAAAGTACATTGTTTGTCCAATATTGCAGTCATAAACCTGGGGAAAAGTTAATTTGGTTTCAAGAAAATAAGGAATGGGAAGATTCTTAAATAGAGGCCAACCACAAAAGGCCAGAACTTGGTGTCTTGGCACCCAGTTCACACAGCAGGGAAAGGGGCTGAGTATAATTCATAGTGCATTGGTTTTATTTACGGATCAAAAGCCACTTAACCTGTAGACAAAGTGCTGTCCAGGACAGAAGCCTGAGATTGAAATCAGCCTTTAGCCTTCCTAATGCCCAGAGTCAACCCAATGCTGCCTCCATTCCATGGGCCAGCACAGGCGGTGGCTCCTCTGGAGACCTGGGGTAGCTCAGACATTTGACCACCCAATCCTAGACAAGAGCTGGATCCAACCCTTCTAGGAATTTCTTTAATTCCCCAGGGTCAGGTTAGTGGTGCCTCAGTGATGACAACAGCTGTAGAAGTAGGGGTTTGCCTTCTGGCCCAGGTCCACGCCCTTGTCCTCTGTCAAAGAGAGAGGTAGCAGCTCAGCACCACTGCGTTGGAGTCAGTAAGACAGTCTAGAGACCACAAGCATACAAATGTCTGAAGGAGGGGGAAGCACACACCTGTCATCACCTGGAAGGCAGCCACACTGACGTAATCATCTGCCACTTTCTGGAAGAGCTCGTCTGGCAGGAAAAGGATGATTAGTGAGGGCCTGCTGCCAGCAGCCCTGGGATCTCCCAGTGACCCAGCCCTCTGGGCTCTCCTGCTTTTCCTCTGGCACTTCCCTGTTCCTAATGTAGGCCTCAGGACAACACTCACCCACACTCTGGCCTGTCTTGCTGGATGTTTCAAAGAGCCGTGCTTTGATATCTGCAAAGAAAAGTGGCGAATTGAGTCATAACTGACAATCAGGTCAACATAGGAGAAGGGTTAGCAGTTCAAGGAGTGCCTTAGGCTCCACAGATTCAAGAATACCAGAAAATTAGCACATCTTGCCACAGGAACCCTTATTTCCTGTCACCCACCCAGAAGTACCTCCAGCCCCCACCCCTTTCCCTGGGTTGAGTAGCTACTGTCTGCATAGTCCTGGACATCATGGAAGTCTACACGTCGACGCCGCCGGTCTTCCTCCAGCAGGTCACTCTTGGTGCCACACAGGTAGATCTGACAGCCCTGGGGCGAAGGACAAGGCCAGGATCACCTTTACAAAACCACAGGGCACACCACCACCACACCTCCCTCCCTGCTACACCAGCAAGGACTGACTACCTACCTCCTCTAGGTTTTGCAGCTCCTTTACCCAGAACTTTGCTCTTTCAAAGCTGCTACTGTCCGTGAGGTCTTGGTATGGGATATGGAGAGGAAAACCAAGAATTAGGGGCTGTTCTCTGAGTTGGGTAGGCAGCCACCTCTTGCTTGAAGAACACACCAAAACTCCACCTTACCATAGCAGACGATGGCAGCTTTGGCACCCCTATAGTAGATTCTACTCATGGCCTCATAGCGCTCAGAGCCTGCTGTGTCCTGAAAGGGAAGGAGAGGTTTAGGCTTGGCCTAAGGTACTGGGCTAATTCTCAAGGCTGCAACTATGTTCTTCAGACTCCCATTTTCCAGACAAGAAATGCCCTCGATGAGGCCACCAGTCAGTAATTGGCAGGAGTTAGGCCTAACAGGAATGACTCTCTTCAAGACCAGATACTCAGGAGACTTACCCAAATACCCAAAGTCACTGTCCGGTCTCCGACGGACATCACTTTAGCCACGAAAGCAGCCCCAATGGTCTGCAACGAGAGGGAAGAAATTAGGGATGCAGGGGCGGACTGGCCCTCTCCCACTCATCCCAAAGGGACACAACTCACATTCTGGTAGGGCCCCACTAGGAAGCGGTCGTGCACGTATCGTTCCACCAGGCTCGTCTTGCCCACGTTCTCCTTGCCCAGCATTACCACCTTGACGTCCACGCGCTGCCCGCTCATGCTCCCTGGGCGGCTCCACTCGCGTCAGGGTCTGCTCGGCCCAGGCAGCGCCCAAGCCTCAGGCCCCTCGACCCCTAGCTCCTAGCACCTCGGCAGCACCTCTGTCTGCCCTAGGTCTTCGGCTCCGGGTGCCAGTTATCCCTCCAAGAGCCCAAGAGCTGGGCGGCCTGGAAGCGCGCAGGCAGCACCCTCCAGCGCCACACGCTGCCGTGAACTCGCTGCTAGTCACTTGCCTTCTGCTCGCTTGCTCGCCAGCCGGGTTTATGCTCTGCTCAGGCCTGGATTCCCAGCCAAACCTGGGGTCCACCGGAAACCTGCTCCAATCCGCAACGCCGCGACTCCCGCAGGCGGGGGCGAGAGGGCGAAGGGGCGGAGCGCCTAGTCACGTGGCACAAGGCGCCGGAAGCGCTGGATACTGTGCGGCTTAGTCGGAAGTGGCGCGCGGCAGTACTATCCCCTCATGGCGGCAGCAGTGACTTGGGCGCGGCGAGTCGGTGACTGAAGTGCGAGCCTGGCGGGCGTCCGCCGAGTCCGGCCCGGCCCGGCCCGGTCTCCGCGTGCCCTCCGGGCTCCTCACCTCTGATGCTGTACTGATACTGAGCTCACCGAAGCCGGGACGATGGTGAAGTATTTCCTGGGTCACAGCGTGCTCCGAAGTTCTTGGGACCAAGTGTTCGCTGCCTTCTGGCAGCGTTACCCGAATCCCTACAGGTAAGTGATCCTGGAAAGAACAAACTTCCTCCCTTCTTAGCTATTTGAAGATCGAAGTGCAGGTCGCTCCTAATGAAACCAGGAAGGACACGACATCTTGTTCGACGCGGGGGATGTCGGGAATCCTGGTCGTCTTCAGGGCACGAAGACCTTGGTGGTGATGGTGGGGGGTCTGGCCAGGAATGAGTGGTAATTTACTTGGTGCCCCAATCTGAGGTTCTCAGGGTGGCGAGACAGGAAGAGGCGGAGGCACGAAATCTGAGTATTTGCTTACTCGCCTCTTGGTGGCGCTTTCCATTGGTGTAACAAAGCCTGAGATCTGCTCTGGCTGAAGACTCAAGAATTTTGATGAGGAAGGAATCAGGAGTTGAAATTTACCCAGGAATAGGTTCAAGATACTTAATTCCGAACGGCAGCACGGATCACTCTGAAAAATTGCAGGAAGGCATGGCCTGGAGGCTCCAAATGGAAACTCCACAAGGCAGTCAATAAGGAACAGGCTTCTGAGAGTCCCCTTCACTCTGACATCTGCAGCAAACATGTCTTGACGGAAGACATAGTACACCGGGAGGTGACCCCTGACCAGAAGCTCCTGTCCCGGAGACTCCTGACCAAGACCAACAGGATGCCCCGATGGGCAGAACGACTGTTTCCTGCCAACGTTGCTCACTCGGTGTACATCCTGGAGGACTCTATAGTGGACCCACAGAATCAGACCATGACCACCTTCACTTGGAACATCAACCATGCCCGGCTGATGGTAAGACCCTCCTTTGGACCCTCCAAAAGTAAATTGTTTTTCAGCTTTACAGCTGGAGTTCCAAGGGACCTGTGGCCTGAGACAGATCTGGATTGCTGAGGAACAGGGGCTACAGGGTACAACCTCAGATTATCTTTCTTGCACCTAGTTAGCCTTCATCTGTTCCTTCACTCATAGATGGGAAAAGGTCACCAATTTTTGCAGAGTTGTAGCAGATACTAAACAAAAAGTACTCATAATGTCTAGCACACTTACAGCTTAGGTCCACAGGAGTGATGCTGAGGGAGGGAGATAGTGGTTTTCAGATGGAATCCATAAAGCCATCAGGTGCTTTGGATGTATCCCAGGGATTGATGTTTTGGTCCCTTACCCTAATTTAACTCAAGGAGTTCCACATTTTTCTGTTTCACCTACCTAAAGGAGTTTGGGGTAAAGGCATCCACCTACTTTTGATCTCTTGTACTTTAAAAAGCTTGCCAAGGCAGGAGTGGTGCATGCTTGTGATCCCAGCACTTTGAGAGGCTGAGATAAGCGGGTTATAAAGTCAAGCCCAGTCTGGGTAATTTAACAATTTAATGAGACTTCTTGGAGTGGGAGTGTGTTGGGTAGGGGAGAATCAGAGTTGTAGCTCAGGGCATAGACTCTGGATCAGTACTAGGGAAAGGGGAAAAAACTAGCCCTTGAAGCCACACTTTGTGGTTACATTCCAGCACTTTGGGAGGCTGAGGCAGAAAGTTTGAGTTCAGCCTAGATAATTTAGCAAGATCCTACCTTAAATTTTTTTTTAAAGGGGTGGGGGATGTAGCTCAGGAATAGAATACACTGGATTCAGTTCCCTCTTATCTCAAAAAAAGAAAGAAAGAAAGAAAGAAAAAGAGTCAAAACTAAGAACAAGGAAAATTTTCACCAGGTGTTGTGGCACACACCTGTAATCCCAGCGCTCAGAAGGCTGAGGCAGAAAAATCTTGCTAGTTTGAGACTATCCTGGGCCACAAAGTATTCAAGGCTAGCTCAAACTGCATAGTGTAATCCTATCTCAAAAAAAAAAAAAAAAAGAAAGATATTAAGAAAAAGAAAAACTTGAATACCTATGGTTTTTTGAGACAGTGTTTGCAATGTAGCCCAGGCTAGCCTTAAACTTACTTTGTAGCCTAAGGTGGCTTTGAACTCAGAGCAGTCCTCCTGCCTCAGCCTCCAAGTGCTGGGAATACACGTGTGTACCACCATGCCTGACTCCAGCCTGTGGTTTAAATGCATTAATAACATACCCTCTCACATGTGAATACTCTGAAGACTTTCAGAGAATTCTCTTTCAGCTTATCCTCATAACTTTGAGAGGTGCGTGGTACTCAGTTGTGCAAAGATAAAAATGAGATTCAGATAGGGAACATGTTGTACAAGGTCACAGAATGAGTACAACTTCCTCTGCTTAGTGCTGTACAATATCATCCGAGATGACTGTATGAGAACACACTCCCTCTGCTTGATAAATTCCCAAAACAATCTGTGAGTATTGTAAGCCCTTGGGAGGTAGTCATCTACTTTCTCCTCTCTGATAAGAGCTGTGATGGTTACCATCCATTTTTACTGGGACCAACAAAAGTTTCAGAGCTGCAGTGGATGGACAGCACAGTAAAAATACCACATGTGGACACAGCAACCCAAAAAAGCCTGGGACCTGTCAGCCCTCTGCTGATCCCAAAAAACCATGTCCTGATTTTAAAGGTCGGAAAAAAAGCTTGAGAGGACAAAATGCCTTCCTTTTCTTCCACTTTTAAGTGCCACTTGAGGGTGTGATAGAAAGGAATAGCTTTTTGTTATTTTCATTTGGGAACAAGGCATGGGACCAGCTGGGGACAGTGCTGCATGTCTGCTGTTTGGAGGGCCAGCCTGGCAGCACAGCAAAGAGGGAGGATCCATTCTGTGTATAAGCTGAGGACACCCCTGCATTGTGCTTGGCCTGGCTCCCTGCACAGGTGGTGGAGGAACGATGTGTTTACTGTGTGAACTCCGACAACAGTGGCTGGACCGAAATCTGCCGGGAAGCCTGGGTCTCCTCTAGCTTATTTGGCGTCTCCAGAGCTGTCCAGGTGAGCATGTTATAGAGTAGCTGCAGCTCTACGGCCCAGGGTTTTGGGCATTAAGGCTGGACCTGGGGTCACTGGACAGTTCCAAATCCTTTTGCCCTCCCCTCAATCTTTTGCCAGGAATTTGGCCTCGCCCGGTTCAAAAGTAATGTGACCAAGACTATGAAGGGCTTTGAATACATTTTGGCCAAGCTGCAAGGTAAGCTCTGGGCACTGATGGTGGAACCTCTGCCATAAAATTTGGGGTAGTGCCTCTGTGAGCCTGGGACTCCTTGTTTGAAAGGGGCAGAGGGAGCCACTTTTGTAAAGGGGCCTGGCCCATACTAAGTGACTGTCTGGTAGGAGGCCTTCTGGGCATCATCTGAAGCCAGCCCACTGCCCTTCACTGCAGGCGAGGCCCCTTCCAAAACACTTGTGGAGACAGCCAAGGAAGCCAAGGAGAAGGCAAAGGAGACAGCGCTGGCAGCTACAGAAAAGGCCAAGGACCTCGCCAACAAGGCTGCCACCAAGCAGCAGCAGCAACAACAACAGTTCGTGTAGCTGGTGTGGGCCTTGCCACCAGAACTACCATAGGCCACCAGCCAGAATGGCACTGCTCCCTCCGCCCTCTCCCCACTGTACTTTATTATTAAAACTCAGCTCGCAGCCCTCTGTGCTGTCTAGGGGGTGGGTCAGGCAGGTGTTCTGTCACATCTGGAGTATACCATGGCCTCCACATCTAAGCCCATCCTACTTATTCCTCCATTGGGCAGCTGGTGACAGGTGCGGAGATTTGCCCAGGGTCACACTGGCATAATGCAGGGCTCTGATTGTTCTCTGTGGCCCAAGTACCTGGAACAATACCTAGCACATAACAGGCACTCAATAAATGTTTGTCGAATTCAGTCAGCCTCAGTGCTGGAATCAAGGCTTTTGGTTTGGAACCTCAGGCAAATCACATCAGTTTGCCTCGGTGCCAGCGCCATCACAGAGTGTGAGGATTAAAGATACACTACTGGCATAGTCAGTTTTGGGTGGTGTCTATTGATCTTATTTCCTTTCTAGTCATGGCTGGGACTTCCTCTGTTTCATCAGGCAAAACCATGGACAGGAAGTTAGGAGAGGCTTTTAATGAAAATACTGTACAGTGTGGAGTAAAGGCAGAGGGCCTTGTCTGAGAACATGAAGGTCTGGGAGCCTTCTGCCCCATGGGGACAGCACAAGCAAGTGCTACAATAATGCTTAGAAGGCCCAAGATGCCTGCTGTGTGGGGCTCTGAGGTGGCCCAGGCCTTCCTCACCCCCACAGGAGGGGCCACCTGGTAGCCAGCAGCAATGTCCAGGGACATTCCCATAGGACTGTCCTTTCAGTCCATACCAACAGATAAACACTCCGAGCAGCCCCCAAGGCTTGGCAAGGGCTCCTGTGTGGAACAATCAGCCCAGTCAGTGGGGGGCAGTCTAAGCAGTGTGCATCATAGCCATGTCCCAGGGTTGTGTGAGTAGCTGTGCTCCTTGCCCGTGCTGAAGCTCCGCAGCAGCTCCGCCTCACCCCCGAACACCAAGCTCTCCACATCTACCTCCAGCTCCTCTGCACAAGGAGTACAAGGAGGGGGTCCAGTCAGGAAACTCAGCTCATCCACATGCTCCTCAATCCTGGGGCTTAGGGACACTCACCTTGGTCAGAGTCAGAGCGCTCAGAGGAGAGACCGGAGGAGTCCAGGCTGTCTGCCCGCAGCCGCTCCCATTCCCTTGCCCCTGGCAGCCCCTGCAGCTGCTCCAGCTGCTGCTGCAGACTCTGCTGTTTATTGCGCAGCTTCTCTTTGAGCCACCGGGCCCGCTGCTCCTGCTCCTCCAACTTCTGCAGAACCCATGAGAGTAGGGGCTGGGGTCAGTGGGCTGAACCTTGGGCCTTACCCTAATGCCACTTGGCACTGGGCCACAGCCATAAAGTACCATTACCTACTAGACAGGCCATGTGTCAGTCTGGGCTCCATGTCCTCTGGGAAGCTAGCCTTCTGCCCTTCCACACCCAGAGATGATCTTTCTAAATGGGCATAGCATGGGGGGCTATGTAATCTCAAATGCCCTTCAAGCTTAGTCGAGTGATAAAATGAAAGTAGGGTATAACAGCGATAAGGACTGGGGAACATGGCATCCTGGCAGCTGTGTACTGTGGCCTCCAGAAGCAGCCATTTCCAGGAACCAGTCAGGTGCTGCCACATAGCAACTGCCAGATCTCCCCATTTCCTTAAGGGAAGCTGAAAAGCCAGATTTTTCCTATCTGATGTCTTTAGTGCTGCCACTAACTATGGGCTAAACAAAGGTTAGCAATTTGTAACTCCTAACAAGGGTCCACCCAGGAGCCCTGAGGCTCCACCCCTCATTCCTTTCTCATGCTTGATTTGTCTGTTTGAGCCAGGGTCTAGCTATCCAGTTCAGGGTGGCCTTAAACTCACTTTGTAGCACAGACTGGTCTTGCAGTTTCAACAATCCTCCTGCCTCAGCCTCCAAGTGCTGAGATTAAGGGCATGTGCCACCGTGCCCAGCCTGACTTCAGGATCTGGAAGCCAAGGACTCTCCTATGTACAGCCCTTGGTGGGCAAAAGGCAGTACTCACTCACTTATTCAACATGAATGGGAGGGTGGGCTGAGGTAGCACTTGGACAAAAGGATGTAAAAGGATATATAGGCACCACCTAGACAAGGACAGGGATGAAGCACCAGGAAGGGGCTGGAGAAGCCTGGAGAGCAGCTTTGTCTTGAGGGGTGGGTAGGATTTAGTGATGAGCCCTGGGATGGAGAGGACATCAAGTTTCACAGGGAGTGAGAAGTGGGCTGTGTCTGTCAGGGTTTTCAGGTGGAGGTGGACCTGGCCAGATCTGTGTACAGGTCATTCTGGGGCAGAGTGGGAGATAGCATAGTGGCAGCCCAACCGAAAACAACAAGGCTGTGTGTATCAGTCCAGGAGAGAAGTGATGGGACGCCAAGGAAGGAGCCATCCGCAGGCCCTGCCCATGGGCCAGCCAGTGCCTGGGAGCACGTGCCATCCACCTGAGAGCCAGGCCCAGCAAGCTGCACTTACCAAGCAGAGTACTCAGGCACAGTGAGGCTGGCAGCAGGCAACTATAAGACAGGGCAAACACTTCCTCCCAGCCATGATTTATGTGCTGGAAGGTACATGGATCTGTTCCTGCTTTGGCCCCCAGAGCCTAAAATGGGGCCTATCTGGGCAAATGCTCAATAAATATTTGTTTAAGGAAAGAATGTAAATCAAGGAGCCTGGGCCTAGATCCTGAATCTGCCTCTCATCAGCTGTGCCACCTGCCCCTTATCCCAGATGTGCCTCCATTCTTCCCCTATCAGGAAGACCAGGAGGACAGGAAAGTTTATTGTTTCCAAAAGAACTTGTGGTGCCTACATGGCTGGAGCAGCCTGGGACTTTGGGTTTGCACAACCACTCCTGTCCACCAGGTCAAGCTTCTGCCAAGGCAGCTGCAACAGCCCTAGGAAGGACAGTAACTGGCTTTTCTTTCCTTTCTTCCTTTTTTTTCACCCCCTAGTGGGGATGAACCTACCACCTTTGCACTGTTGAGACACTGGGCTTGAAATTGCAGTCATGCCTCAGCCTCCCAGAGTGCTGAAATTTCACCATGTGAGTGTAATCCTAGCTGACTCCTGGGTCTAGCTGCCATGTCCAGCAGCTGCTGGCTCTTCACAGTCCTTGCCCCCTCTGATACCAGTAACTGCCTCCTAGAAGAGCATCAGGACAGAGAACTTACAACAGGAGGCCTTGAAGTATGGGGGCCAGAGAACAGGCACCACTCTTAACAACCTAAGGGACCCTTACATAAGATCACAGAATCTTTCCCACAGTTCTCTCCTAGCCAAACAAGAAGAAATGCAAGTCCAGACAGGCTACAATGACTTGCCTAAGGTCAAACAGCTGAGATCTAAGAATAATAGCAGTAACAACTCACCCTTGTTGAATACATAGAGTGAGTTCACTGAAGCCTCAGAACAACTCTTTGAGTTTTCTGCTTTTCTTCCTATTTCTTAATTTGGAAACAGTACAGAGAACTTTCCCAAGTCACACAGTTCGTCTATACGTGGCCCTTATCCCTAGTAGTTCTACCTCATCCCTTCACACAGTCTGGCAAGCTGCCCCAGGTGCAGGGAAGGCCCCCTCACCTGGATATGCATCCTTGCTCTGCGAAGCAGGCTCAGCGTGGTGTATCGGGCACAGTCGGCCCCCAGGGGCATCTGCTGCTTCAGCTGCTCTAGGCACCGCTTCAGCTGGGCCCTCCTGGGGGGAAGGGTCTGGAGGGCAGTGCCAGTTCCAGCTCGACTTGAAGGCCATAGGATAGCGGAGAAGGGAGGGCCCAAGGGAGGTGGCTCCTGGGACTTGGTGCTGCAAGGTTGGGGTAGAACTCACCTGCGCTTCTCCAGTTCATTGTGCACAGATCTGCCAATACCAGGGAGGATGAGGTGAGGGACTGTCAGCTACTGGCCTCACCCTTTGCCCCAGGACCCCCTAAGGCTACAGATATTTGTCCCAAACAATCTGCCTTTGAGCACCCTTGTGCTGGCCTCAAGCACCAGAGCCCTCAATGAAAAAGGGCAAGAGGAGACAGACACCACCAAGAACCAAATGCTGAGAATCCTGCCCAGGTGGTTGCAGGGGTCCAAATGAAGCTCCCTTGCCAACCAAGCAACAAAGGGTTCTGAGACAGAAGTCACAGTTGAGCTGAGCACAAAACAGAAGTTTCCCACAGCAGGTATTGGAAGGAAAGGCATTCAAACTGGAAGGAAAAGCACATGCACAGGGTTGATGCACTGAGAGAAAAAAAGAGGGGGCAGTGTATGTACGGAGTGCAGGTGGAGTGAGACCCATAACAGTCTTGTCCACACTTCCTGGTATATCAAAGGCACTCAAGAAGGAATCTATGAATATGAATGGTGTGTGTGTGTGTGTGTGTGTGTGTGTGTGTGTGTTTGAGGAGTGACCAGATGGTAGGAGGAATCTCAGAGCAGGGTACCTGATCAGGAAGATGCAAAACGGAGGAAGTGACCGCAGAATAGGCTTATGAGGGACAATGCCCCCGCCCCAGGCCCACCACCCCCGGTTCTCACCGCCCACTGTCCAGCGCGCCAGGAGCTTGTGGATGGGGTCGCTTCCTCCGCTTGTGGATGGGCCCTGGACTGTGGTGCGGGCACAGCGATGCGTACCCATGCTCCGCCTCTGCCAGAGAGAGTTTCAGCCAATGTCAGACTGGGGGGGGAGAGGGGGGACTCGTCCAAGTAGAGCCCCTGGCAAGGCACGGTAAGGTCTTGGCGCCAGGATCATCTCCCCAAACCCTTCCTGGCAGACCGTTCGCGGCTTCCTCTCGAGTTCAGGGCGGGAGCGAAAAGTTACCGAAAGTAACTGCCCTAGAGCAATGAATCGTTCAACTTAGAAGCCAAGGCCAGTGCCAGCAAAGTCGCCCAGGAGTCACCGCCAGGATTCTTACCTCTCTCGCGGCGCTCCAGGAACTCGGCCGCTTGCAGGAGGACCTGGATGTTGCTAGCCACACATTCCATGTCGGCGACACCTGGCAGCGGGCGGGCCTAGCGTGCGGGCTGGAACAGCGACTGTACCACTTTTGTTACAATGTAACTGACACAGAGCAACAAATAAGGGCTGCGGCCCCGCCCCCAGCACGCCCCTCCCGCGGCAACGCCCAGTGTTTAGCCCCGCCCCTTCGGGTCCCGCCAGGGAGCACAGCCCCTTGCCGGGGTACCCGCCCACCCGCCTGGAGCGGCCTCAGGCTCTCTTGGTGACCGCTCCAGGACTGGTTCCTTGGCAAGCCCTCCCCAAATTAGGGTCCACTGCGTCTTCCCCGCTTCGCTTAGTGACCCCGACGGCTCTTTGGCGTCTTTGGACCTCAGTTTCCAGCGAGCGAGGAGCGCCGAACACTTAGAACAGCGATACAGAACCCGGGCAGTCCCCAGGCGGCCCCGGCTCCGCCCTGCGCTGGAACTCTAGGGGCGGGGCCGGCGGGGTGCAGCTGGCCCATTGGCGGGCTGCCCGCAGGGCTTGCCGTCGTCATCTTCTGGGCAGGGCTGAAAAGCCTCTGAGGCGTGATTGGCTGGCGTGCGGCCCTGCCTTCTCCCGCTGCCTGTCCACAAATTCGGGCGGGAAAAGAAGCAGGTTTCAAATTTGAAAACCCAGTGCTGAAGGCGGGGTTGAGCGGGGAACGAGAGCGCAACGCGCAAGCGCTGGCTGAGGGGCGCGGACCCTGTTCCTGAGCTCTGGGGTCTGTGCATTCGCCTGCCTACCATCTGCTCCCCGTCAGGCGCCCACTGGGCTTCAACTCTCAACTTCCTATTGTGTTGAGCGAGGATCCGCGCTTGGCTGGTCTGGTTCATCAGCAGGTTCATCGTCTTGTCAGCATGAAGACGTAGATAGTGAAACAGCTTCCCAAGCCAGGCCATATCCTGGAAATACGTCTTCTGTCTTTTTAGGAAGCTCTTTACTGTGGAATCGAGCAAATGGGGCTCCTCTCTTGTCCCTGCTGACTCAGCTATGTGTAATTTGGGCGCCCAGCAATGACATGGTGGAAAGATCAGAGCCAATGCCTATGTAATACTCTGATATGAAACAACTGCCCCTGCCTAAGGCCGGTCCAGCTAGGAACTTCTTCCTCCTGCCTTTCTGGAGCATGACTTATGCAGAATCCATGAACCTTTATTTATTTATTTTTTAATTCTTTTTGAGGCAGGGCTTTACTGTGCAGCTGGAACTAGCTTTCAACTCACTATGGAGCCCAGGCTGGCCTCAAACTCGCAGCAATCCTCCTGCCTCAGCCTCCTGAGTGCTGGAATTACAGGCTAGCCTCCACAGGATGTAATGTTCCTAGTCTTCTAAAGCAGTAGCTGCACTTCCTAGGTAGAGCACCAGCAGGTATAGTCATGCTTCCAGGACCAGAGGTAAGAGCAGTTGTTAACTAGGTGGGGAAGTCCTGCCAGGCCTGAGACAGTAAGTGGGGAAACAGAGGGAGAAGCAGGGGAAGGAAGATTCTGTATAAAGAGAGCCCTAGATAAACACAGACAGGCACATGTCAGTGAGGCCTTGGAGGTTCTCCAAGTCAATGCTAGAGGAATCACTTATCCATTCACCTCTCCACTCAGGAAATACTTTGGCAGGCTCTCATAGGAATAGAGGGATATTTTGATCTAATCAAAGGGGTCAGAGGAGGTTTTGCTGAAAAAATGCATGAATGTGTTATCTATGTATAGGAGGGAAGAGAATTCCAGACACAGGAAGAGAATGTGCAAAGGCCCCTGGGGTTAAAAGGAATGAAGCAGTTTGTAGACTAAAACAAGGCGAATATGGCTATGTAGAACAAAAAACAGTGCAGATTGACACTAAGGCTGTCTAGACTCAAAAGAAGCTGATTGGTCCCTCAGACTCCCAATTTCCATTAGTTATGCCTGAAAGAGGCAGATGGAAGACTTTGGAATGTATTTCTAATTTTATTTCACTAACAACCGCACCATACAATGCAGGCACAAACCTAGTCAGACACTTGGCACCCATGTGGCCTGGCCTTGGACTCAGAGTACAATGGCAGTGGCAGAAAAGAAGTTCTTAAAGAAAAGTTCCCAGCACGGGGAGGAAATAAGGAGAGGAAAGTGCAGGCAGGGACTTCAGAGAGGCCTGTGCAACCCCACTGAAGAGCCGGAGCTTTACCCTCAGAGCCAAGGAGAAGATGCAAGCTAGAAAACAGTAGACCTGATCATCAGTTAAGCCTCATCTCTGGACTCCTGCCTCAGCCCCTCCCACGTTACTCATCCTCTCCTCTTCCCAAAGGGTAGCATTCCTAGCCTGAGAGCTACCCAGGTCTCCATTCAAAATGTTGCAGGTTCCAAAAGCAGGAGGAATCTAAACACGTGGCCTCATTCTTTCAGCTAGGTAGTGTAACTGAGCTCAGAGACCATGTCATCTCTCCCTGGGCGTCTTTCAAAGCATTCTTCGATTTTCCTCACTGCATAATCTACTTGTTCATTCCTTGACTCTCACCCTCTATTGTCCTTCCTCTTTGTTTATACCCTAAAATTTCCACCTTTAAAAGGGACACTGGTTGGCCACTGTGTTAGTCCAGGTTGCTGGCAGGAATACCAGTCTCACTAGGGCCCACCCATCACGTGCACATGGGTGGCCACCTGGGGACACACCGACCAGTTGTCTCCATCATGACTCATGTTGGCCCCAGTTTGTTTGTGTTTATTTTTTTCTGCACTGAGGACTGAACAGAGGGCCTTCACACTGAGCTACATCCCCAGCCCTTTTTAATTTTAAAACAGGCAGGGCCTCACTAAGTTGCTAAATGGGGCATGAACTTGTGATCTTTCTGCCTTGATCTCCCCAAGTGCTGGGATGACACATGAACACCACCATACCTGCTTGTGACCCCAATTTTGGCAGATGGAGTGAAAGTTCAACCCCCCCCCCCGCATTAGGCCCTCAAGAATCTGAACATAAAGGATTAAAAGTATGCACGCTCTTACTTAGGGATCTTTACTACTTCTGGTAGGTGCATTTGAACCTTTGTCTTGCATGCCCTGTACTGGGTAGGAAAAAGGAAGCTGAGATGTAATGGTGGGGGATAAAAAGTATTCTCATGCCAGCATCCTCTCCTACCTTCTCCACCCCTGATCCACCAGAGAAGCACAGGAATCCGCCAATGCTGAGTGTGAGCGCACAGCTGTGAAGGTGTGTAACCAGTCCTTCCACCTTTATCTCCCCTGATTTTAGTCAACAAATATTTCCCTTGCCTGTTCCAATTCTTCATCAAACTATTGCTTTGAAAACAGTGTTTTGGCCAGACATGGTAGCATATGCCTGTAATGCCAACACTTGGGAGGCTGAGGCAGGAGAATCACTGTGAGTTCAAGGCCAGTGCAGGCTACATAGTGAGTTCAAGTCCAACCTGAACTGCAGACAAGACCCTGTTTCAAAAAAAATCTCTTCTTTGCCCACCGTTACACATTATGGGCTGTGGAATGTGTCCTTTGGTCTGAGGAAAAGTGACAACACATTTCCGAATTGATGCTACATTTTCCTCTGTCATCCTTCTGTTTATTCTCTTTCAGCACTGTGACAAAACTCAAGTCCTTTGAACTGAACATACCCGATATCTCCTGCCTCTTTGAGACAGCATCTCCCTGCTCATTGAGCTGCCCAGGCTGGGCTGCTCCTCCTGCAGCAGACTCCTAGAGTGCTGGGATGACAGGCATGTGTCATCGTGCCTGGCCCATCCCCATCCTTTTACTGTGCTCTGATCTCTTCAGGGTAAACGAGCCTGGTTCAGAATGACTACCAGGCCCCATGCACAGTCTCTAGGAGTGGCAGGTGTGAGGTGGTTTGCCAGATACATGCAGGGGCCTTCCCCACAGCCTGTCTCATTGGCAGGCACAATGGCTCTCATTGGTGCTCTGTGCCTCACAGAACGTGAGAGGAACGTGCTTGGATCAACCCTCTCTGCACTGTGGCAGCCCCACTCCTCTGCCATTCATGGGATGCAGCCAGGCAGCCACCTTGTACGAGAATATCCGCCCCGGCTTGAAACATCCTCTGATCTCGGAATGTGGATCAACATGACCTCCTTTAGAGTCCCACAGGTTCCCACAGGGCTGTGCCCCACTCAGGCATCTGGTCAATAGGCCACTTGTCCATTGCTCCTGCCTGACCACATAGGCAGCCACTGGCCGCTGCTTACAAGTCACTGGCCCAAATGTAGAGGTAAGTGGCATGCGACTCCGAGCGGCTTTGTTGTCACTTTCTTCAGCACAGTCCCAACCAGAAGCTCTCCTATCACCTCAAAACCTCCATTCATAAATCAAGCAGGGTTTTTGTTGGTTAAATGGCACAACTGGCCACAGGACTCAGCTCCACAGTCAGCTGCAGGGGGGAACAAAGGTTCCTAGCTTAGGACACCTTCTTACCCTTACCCGGTGCATGCTTGCATGCAAACTGCTTCATGCTGTTATCTAATTGGTCAGTGCACGTTCTTCACTTGAGCATTTCTCCACCAACACTTTAGACCCGAGCATTTCAGATGTCAAGAGGTCAAAATTATATCTTTAAGTCACAGCAGCAATCTCAAAATTACTTTGCCTCTCAAATGACAGTGTTCTGGTCCCAAATCCCAGCAGTTGCCACGAGGTGTCACTCACAAGCCTTGCCATAAACTCCAATAGGAAGAGACTCCACAAAGGACCATTGTTAGCAGCCTATACGGCTCAGGGGAGCACGTGCCCATCCAGTCCTGTCCACACTGGCATATGGGCAGATTTAGCTGTCCCTTATTTTGACAAGTTACGTAGAGGAACTTTTCCCAGGCTGGCCCAATCCATCCCTGTGGTACATTCAAGGTTGTTTGTTTTTTAAGAGACAGTGTGTCGGGGGCTGGGGATTTAGCTCAGCAGCATAAGCACCTGCCTTACAAGCAGGCGGTCGTGAGTTTGATCCCTGGTACCGATAAAAAGGAAAAAGACAAAAAAAAAAAAAAAAGAGAGACAGTGTGTCCCTCAGTTGTCTCCCAGGGTACTGGGATTACAAGCAAACACCACCAGCCCCAGATATTCAACACATTTATTTATTTTTGTCTTTTTGAGATCCCTTTGTAACCCAGGATGGTCTTGAACCTGCAAAGATCCTCCTGCCTCAGCCTCCCTGAGCTGAGATTATGGGAATGTACCACCACACCCTACTAAGGCAGCCATCATCTCATTTTTTATAACCACTGAAAGATGTCTATATTGCTGCAATGAGTCCCCCACTATCTCCTTTGTTTGTTCCTATTGTTCTGTGAATCATTCTGTCTATGCTATTATATCAAAATCATTTCCCCCCTATGAGGAATAGCCCCAGCTTGGCCCAACTTTGATCCGATCAAGAATCTGCCACAACATATGCTTTAGCTTGCATTTTAGCTTTAACAGATAACAAAAGAATGATGGTATATTTAGCTTTTTAAATGTTACTTTATGTTTCCTTATGTATCCAGTGAATTTATTATTTGGGACTAGATCCACCATTTCAAAAATCCACTATTAACTTTTGCTCCATAACTGATTACAGAAGAGCTGCAGCCCCCAACCATGGATAGCCCCCACTATCCTCTGGGAATCAAAGGTTCATCACATCCCACCCTGCAATCCAGTTTTTAGAGGAAGTAAATGGCTTACCTGTGAGCCCATCACTCATATTCAAACCAGCTAGTCCAGAGCCCAGCCCCGACCTCCTCCTGACTGCGCTCTTATGCTCTGAACCACTAACTACTACTCGGCCTTAATCACTCCAGGGCCAGAGAACAGACAATGGGGGTGCTGCCACCCCAGCACCCACTGGAACTATTCAGATGCGGCAATCCTAACCTGCCTACCCTGCCCTGCCAGCTGCTTCCTGAGGAAACCACAGTAAAGGCCTGGCCAGAGCTCCTCTCTCCTCCCGTCCCAGCCAGCTCAGGCACATCCCTCCTCCTGCTTCCAGTGACCCACCGAGCTGCTATGGACCCAATGGGCAGCCTGAGATGGTGCCCCTGGTTGCTAAGTCCAGCTCTTCAGTGTGAGTCCTCTCACGCTGCTGCATCTGCCTGATGGTGAACGTCTGGGGTGCTCAGCATCTGGGACATGTGGCCTCCTGCTCAGGTAGGCAGAGCACCCTCGAAGGTACAATAA